AAGGTGCAGAAGTTGTACTCTGGGTTTGAAGAATGAGTAAGAATTTGTCAGGAGCCTGAGGAAAAGGCTGGTCCAAGCAAAAGGTACATTTGGGATATTACCAGTAGTAGGTATCACTGTAAAACAGATTTCCTCTTCGGGTATGAGAGTGAGAGAGAAGACTTTTATAGATAGAAGTGCTTTCAAAAACCAATTTTAAGCCCTTCAGAAGTCCCTAAGATCTTACCGTCTCTGATAATAATTCTCTGGGAGGTCATACTCAGGCCAACTGCTTTAAATAAAATATGCCCAGTTCTCTACACATGATATACTAAAACACCAATATATAAGTTATATAGTCATAGAACACATTTGTTTAAGCAACTTTAGGCAAAAGGAATGCAAGAATTAACAGATTTGAAAAATGATTAAGGGAGTGTTACCTCATAAATCAAATTCAACCTTAGTGTAAGGCTTAAATTCTAGACTCCTAAAAATAAATTTTGAGAAAGGGCCTCTTACTCTAATAATTAAAACTTTAACCACTTCTGTCATTCTTTGTGACCTTAGCCCATTTTTTTCTTCACAGCACTTACCCTTTGCTTGCGTCGCACTGTAACATAAGCTCCTTGAGGGTAGAGAATACCTGTCTTGCTCACTGTTGTGTTCTCAGAACCCAGAATAGCACCTGGCGCATATCAGAGCTTTCATTTCATTTATTCATTGAATGAATGAATGAACCTTTAGCTGAAGGGATTGCCCCATAATATGAGCACTAGATACACTTAAGCTGTGATTTGGCTGCATATGCCCTTTCTACCTAACTAGGCTTTGCAATTCTGCCCTACTTTCCATGCGGTTGAAGGCCTTTATTTTTAAGGCACTTGACATATATGCCACCATTAGTAAAAAGTAGAGATTTCTGGACAATTCACTAAACTCCAAGGGTGGCAAGAATAAGAGAAAAATGTGCACCAAGTACTTCTTTGGCTTCTTTAGCCCTGATCCTAGGATCCCTACGCTTGGTCAAATAGAATCAGATTCTAATTTCCATCTTCAGTGGTATTCACAAATACTAAATCCATAATGAACAACCTGTACATTATCTCCACAGATCCAAGAAAGGACTGTAGAATAGTGACAAAATGCTGGAGAATAGTTCCTTCCTATTCTACAGCCAGTACCTATCAGGAGACGCTGAATTCATCCTTTCAGAGGTTAGGGGACAGTCCATATGCTTTTCACATTCTGGGATATCAGAAAAGGTTTTGTGAGAACACCGGGATTTGGGACTAGAATGACCCTACTGAGACGATGATGAGGCAGTTACAATGACTCCTAGTGTGAAGATCAGAACTACTGAGAATGGGCACTCTTCCTCTCCTTTTTAGCCCACTCTCCATTATCACTACCGTTATCAAGACTTACATTGGAATTTGTTAACTCTGAACTTAACCAAGAACTTGATTTTTCATTTTAGACAGTGCTTGCTCAGTGAGACTTGAACTGATCAAATTAAAAACCTTGGTGTCATCTTTGAGTTCTCCTTCTCTTTCATTTCCTATTAAGTCACCAAGCCTATTGAAAACGTTTCCATTTGTCTCTCCTTTTTCACTCTTATTGCTAAAGGCTTATCAATTTATGTCTGGACTACTGCAATGGCTTTCTAAGTAGTCTCTAGCCTCTCTCTCCTCTAATCCTTCTTATTTACCATTACTCTATGCAGTTTTAAGAACATCCAGTTTCATCTGGTGATCCTCAATTTAAAAAAAAAACACCCCCAGGATACCCTTACACCCAATGATTTCATAATGTATAATGGTCATTCCTCAGCCTGGAGCTCAAGACGTTCTACAGTCTGACCCCAGCTCTTCTAAATTGTGTTACCGTCATCTATTACTACCATTACCATAAAGGAACGTCAACCCTCTATTTTAGTCAGGTTGCTGTACCTAACATTCTCTGAATATACCACTCAGCCTCCACATTCTGATGATGCTGACCTTATAGGGGGCTAACATTTTGAGGATATTTACAGAATAATTCAAGTCCTATACATTCTTTAAGATCCAAATGAAGTTTCTTCTCTTCTAGGTCCTCCTCTACCATTTTGGGACTTCTTTCTACTCTAAACTTCTATGAAACTCACTGTCTATTCCATCCATTTTGCTAGGGTCATATTCCATCCTAAAATTTAACCAAATTCTTTCATGTTTCTATGCCATGTGTATGTCTTTAATCAAATAAACAGTAAGCTCCTGGTAAAGGTCCCCCAAGGATTTTTCTAGTCTCATTTGTTCTTCAATCAAATTATTAACCCTTAGTTAACTGAACCCATAAACATTAAAAATGTTTCTTTGCATGTTAGGATGCCTGTCCTATATTAAGGGTAAAAGAGGACAATCTTCTTGGATATCATATAATAATCTTAAGAATTTACTTCTGCATATGAATAACAACTGAATATTTAGGAATACACAGATGACACAAATTTCTCCCTTGCTTTATTATTTTGTATTTCTGAACTGTACTTCTGAACTTATGTGTTCAAGGGCTGTGAACTGTTACCTCCACATACAACAAGGAATTAATTTATGAATACTGGAAGTAAGAAATTAAAAATATTAATGGACAACTCTGTAAAAATAGCTTAGAATCCATTTAATATTTAGACCTAAGAAATCTCTTTCTATAAAATCTGAACATGTCAAAGAGACTATATCTGGGCCCTTTAGAATCTGTAGCCCCAACACTTAAAAACTAGCAGGAAGAGGTTCTGGGACCAGCAGAACACTCTTTAATGCTAAAGCCTGCCCAAGCACTAAATACAATGACACCAGGGAGGTGACTTGTATGGCATATCAGTGATAGCACACTACGCAGTTTTCTAAGAGTTAAAATGTGCTGTTTACGTGGAAGGAAATGATACCAAGTAGTTAGGGAGTGCTAGTTTAGAGAAGCACAGACCAACCTAATTCATATTATTTATAGAATAGAAAATGTTCTCAGCTAAAGTGCTGAAAAAAAGAAAAAAATTGGTCCAGAAAGGCAGAATTACAACCAGTGCAAGATTTATAAAATCCATCATGTTCAGAGACTTCCCTGGTGGTCCAGTGGGTAAGACTTTGCGCTCCCAATGCAGGGGGACCAGGCTTGATCCTTGGTCGGGGAACTAGGTCCCGCATGCATGCCACAACTAAGTTGCGGCATGCATGCCGCAACTAAGACTTCGCATGCTGCAACTAAAGAGTCCGTGTGCTGCAACTAAAAGATCCCACATGCCACAATGAAGATCCCATCTGCCTCAACTAAGACACGGCGCAGCCAAAATAAATAAATAAATAAATATTGTTTTTAAAAAGTCCATCATGTTCAAATATAATGACAAAAAACAAACACTTCTTTATTTAAAAAACCAAATTTCCAAAACTAAAACTTCTTTGTTAGCATTTATTAGTCTTTTACTTTTTAATGGTCTTAAATGTATTTGTGACAAAAATAAAGTGCCAAAGTTTTAAGAAACCATATGCTAACTTAGGATGTTATCTATATTTTCTTGGACCAATCAATGATTTTTTAAAATAGAGATATTGGCACTTTTTCTCTTAAAATAAATGTTTATATGTCTCACCAATAACACCAGCCTGTAGCACAGAGCATTCCACATAAAAACACAATGCCATTAAAAACCAAACAGGAATCCTGAAAGAGAAAAGAAACTCTAGTTTTAATATAGTAAATTGTACCCAGAGACTCCCTTCCCATTATCCTTTAGAATAACCAGAGTCCTTCCAACCTGCACCCTTAGCCCAGCAGAGTAAGAATAAACTCTTAATTGATAAATACTAAATTAAATATTATTTACAATACTTACAATATTTTCCTAGTTACACACAACCTTCTTCTCTTAGCAAATGTCACTTTCTTAAGATGACTTGTTTTTAAAAGTTCCAGTGTCAATATATTCCAATAATAAATTTACTATTCATACAATTTATTATTTCACACATAATATAAAACTTTAAAGAAATTTAAAATATATATTCAATGTAGCCAAGTTCTATTCTTAAAAACAACTTTTCTTCTGAGTTTACGTCTCCAGAAGACCAGTCCTCAAGGACTTCTGGAGTCTAGCAATGTTGGCATCCAGTGCTGCAAGGCCATTTTGGAAGTCTTGTTCATCACGAGAAGTGAACGTTGAAAAAGAAGTGCTCCAGTCAGAGGTTAAATCAGAATTTAAAAAGCTACCATCAGAGACTGCACTACTTTTCACTTGAATGCTGCTGTTCTGACAAGTGGAGGGGCCATGACACGCAGCCAATTCTTCTGGCTCCTCAGTGGCAGGAGGGATCTTGCGAATGGCTTCCTTTATTATCCTGAGGAGTTGCTTGTCCTCCATATCAGCTGTTCTGGAAAGTTTCTCAGGTGCAACTCCTTCCTCTTTGGAAGAGGAACAAACTCCAGGTGCACACAATTTATTTTCTTTTTCAGCAACAAGTCCACTGACCATCTGCGGTGGAGCAACACTGATCTGTAGCTGGAGGGATAATCTCTTAGATAGTGGTGATTTCTTTTTAGAAGTGCTTCTAGCAAACGGAATGTAAATTGTCTTATCCAAATTACACTCATCTTCTATTAAAGTTGTAATTTCACTCTCCTCATCAGAATCCTGTTTTGAAAGGGCAGGAATGATTCCAGGGGCTGATGCTTCCATGTTCCTAGCATTAGTATGCTGAGGGCCTTCAGAGGGCAGAACATTTTCATAGGGTCTATCTGGCATTGTGTTTTCCTCATTGTTAATTGTAGAAAGTGGCTCTGAACGTGTAATAATAGTGTGAACTGGTTCTAACTTATTTAGATAGCTCATTATGGAAGTGTGAGCAGGGATTCGGTCATGTTGAGGTTGTTTTTCATAAATGTTCAGGAGTGATTTCGTAAGATTACTCCCAGACTTGAAACGAGCAGTGTCCATACTAAGATCTGAGAGAAGCTTTGCCATACTGGTCTGTAAAGTTCTGTTAAGAAGAATTTAGTACACTAATTATTTCTTTGTACCCATTTCTTACATTTATTTAAATATACCTCATCTTTAAAAGAAAGTATTTGAGGCAAGCACCTGGTTCTTAATACGGGAAAAAGCAACTAAAAGCACAAAATCACAGAATATGCTCTGGAAAGAGTAAATTAAAATAAGAAATGATAAAAGATCTTGGTCTGCATCAAATCGATTATTATTATATCTAAAAATAGAGGCTCAGAAAAATTTCTCTCTTAAGGTACAGAGATGCTTTATTTTTGAGCAACATTGCAAAATGGTAAATATATTACTCATTTGTTAGTGGATTCTGTTAGTAATTAAATTACTTTCCATTCAAAATATATATGCAAAGGACGCTGGAATAGTGCTGGGTAAAAAAAAGAGGATAGAGATAATTATCTAGTATAATTAGGTAGCAACAGCTAGGCTCCAGGAAAAGTGTGATATAAGGAAAACCACACAGGGTTTGAAGTCAGACAGAAATGGAATAATATCTTCACACTATCGCTAGCTGTGATCTTGGGCAAGTCACTCAACCTTCCTGAATCTCAAGTTCTTCAATTGCAAAATGAAGGTAACTACTTCAGAATTAGAGTGAACATTAAATAAGATAAAATAATAAAACATAAGGGTAAAGTGCCTAGCACAGTTTCAGGCTAAGTGGGTTTTTATTTCGTGGCAGCTTTTATTAGTAGTCCTATTAAAACCATTTTATACCAAGGCTTTAGTCTATTTGAATTGAATCATAATACACTCTTAAATACAGGTAAGAAAAAGAAGCACACCAATTTTAAAAAAAGATACAAGGAACATCAACAGGTAATTTTAAAAGACTACAATTAGCCAATAAGTATGTTTTAAAAGTTCAACTCTTATCAGAGAAATTCAAAGTTTTTAAATGTGATTTTTTTTGGCCTATCAAGCTAACATAGGAAAATAAGAATATCCATTGTTAGAGAAGCTTGGAGAAGCAGGTATTACTAGTGGGAGTGTACACTCTCTGAGCAGACCAGCAATATATCAGAAGCCGTAAAGATTTGTATATCCCACACCTTTTGACCCACCAAGTTGCACTTCTGGAACTTTATCCTACTGATATTCACCAAGAGGCTGTACCCAGAGATATATTTACAAAGATGTAATTTATAACAGAAAATAAATGGGGTTAATATCCTCAAATACTGTGGACTGATTTAGGTAAACTATGGTCTTACTGCATCACAGCCATCTATAGCCATGTTGTAAAGAATATTTATTGATAAGAAAATGTTTATTATACCAGGTTAAATTTAAAAGACAGACCATAAGCAACACAATAACAATATTACTTTTGTAAAAACAGTTACACACATCCAAATAAAATACTAAAAGGAATCTTTATACGAAACCATTAGCAGTGATTATATCTTTGGATACAGAATGAGTGATTCTTTTCCTACAAAAGGAAAAAAATAGTTTTTTTCCAACCTGGCTTTCACTGTCATCTTAAATATGCTATGTTTTGAGTTCTGATTACCATTCAAATGGCAATGGCTCCAGCCACTTTTTCCTCATACCTCTTTCAAGAAGCTAATGAGCTACTATTAAAAGATTAAAAAATATGCTATAGAAATGTATATTTAAAGAAATGCTGTAATGAATAATGATCCACTAGTTAATTCAACAAGACTGCACACTGCGATTTTTATTTATTTTTAGTAAAGAAATCCTTATGTTGAAGTTCCTTTCCAGACTTAAAAATGTTATCTCTGCTGTGCACAAAATCTGCAATACAGAAAGGAAGGAAAGGACAATGTAATAAGAGTTTAATCTCTGGAAATTAATAGCAATCACTAAGCTTCGCATGTGTAAACAAAATGCGACTCACCATTGTCTTTGAAATTAAATCTCTGTAAGTAAAAATAGGCCAAAATTTAAAAGGAAGCAATACAAGCACCTAGATAGCTACAAAGTAGTTATATTTGTGTTTCTATTATATGAGACTCAGCTAAACACACTGATTTTTAATGCTTGGAAAACTGGCACATTTTCATAATAAGAAATGTAAAGTTCTTTCTTGGCTATTTATAATAATTTAAATAACTATCAGCACTTGTAAGAGTGCTCTCAGAAGCTATTAGAAGAATATTTACTAATTATTTACTGAAAATATATTAATTTTCCTCACATTTTAATGGTTTTATAACATGTATTCTAGTAAAATCTTTAAAAAGTGATAAAGATGTATTTCAAAACTATTGAAGGGGGCTTCCCTGGTGGCGCAGTGGTTGAGAGTCCGCCTGCCGATGCAGGGCACACGGGTTCGTGCCCCGGTCCGGGAAGATCCCACATGCCGCGGAGCGGCTGGGCCCGTGAGCCATGGCCTCTGGGCCTGCGTGTCCGGAGCCTGTGCTCAGAGAGGCCACAACAGTGAGAGGCCCGCGTACCACAAAACAAAACAAAACAAAAAACTATTGAAGGTTGAAGAAAGAAATGGTTTAGGAAATCTGTTTAGAACTTGTATGTGAAACTTCTAGTTCCATCATCCCTCCCCAGTAGTCTGAGGCATTAAAAAATTTTGTGAAATCTCTGAGACTATTTAACACACACAGAAAAATATATACCTACCTGAGGTGCATGGCTATAGGGAAAAGATATGGGATAGATGAACATGAAGATTTATCTGTATTGTCAGATGTCATTGCTTTACTCTCTAACGTCAAAAGTAAAATTTAAATGGTCACAGTTAGCCCAGCTATAGGACTGGAGATGTTCCTAATTAATTGAATTACATAGGGTACCACCAAATATATCATAAATCACCAGTGTGGGTGAATTTTGACATCTGAGCTCCAAGAGCATTTTTGTTGTTGTTTTGCTCTTTAATTTAAAGGGCAAAACAAAAATTGCCATCAGTGGGTATATATACTTAGCATTTTGAAGCTAGTACTGAATCTTCAGAAAATGCATTGGCAGAACTATAAGACACTGTGCTAAGCCTGCCTACTACGTTTCTATAATCATTTAGAGTCTAGTTAGTCTGACTAATAGCTGAAATAGTAGTCATGAGGCAGGATTTATGCTCAGCATAAAAAGAAAAGGTCCTTAACAACAATGGAAAAAAACTGACAGGAAAGTTCTTGAGTCTTAAGAAAAGGAGAAGAAAATGTCTACATCTAACATTTTAGACACAGTCTTTTCTAAAAGCAGATAATATATAAGAATTAATGACCTTTCTCAGTTTCTATGTTAGGGTAAATGTTAAGGCTCCAATTGGCAAATGAATCCATTGTCGTTGCAAGGCTAAAGAGGGAATCTGAAGTCTTGGCTGAAGTCCAGCTCACATCCCAACTGGGTGTGAAAGTCAGGTATGTGCCTTCATTTCTTTGGGCTTCCATTTATGCTAATTTCTAGAATAACTGTACTATTACTTACTCTGAAAACTGTTCTTACATTTTTGCTATCAATTTTCTTCACAAATGTACCACCCGTTTATCCTTAAAAAAAGATGTTATTTCCCTTCATACATCATCAAAGAACTAGAATAGCTTTTTGCTTAACGATGTGGATATTTAGCAACTAAAATGATTAAATATTTCTTGTGTGTTTCACACTCATATATTTGGACCACAGTATACAATAAATGTTTGTTGAATAAATGAATAAGCAAATGAACCCATCCATTTATCCATCCATCTCCCCGGGGAAAAAATCCTAAGGTTTACGTAGACTAGATTAGGCATGGAGTTGTCACCAGGAATAAACTGTTTTAGTTAAGACCATACCATGTATGAGGGTGAAAGAAAACCTGGCTAGGAATTAAGAGATGTGAGTTCTAGTCCCAGCTCTGTTATTAACTCTCTATTAATACTTAACTTACATGGCCCTAGTTTCCCCAACCATGAAAATGCAGATATTTAAATCTTCCCTCCATAGATGAGGACAAATGAAATAATAAAGAGAGGACTTTGAAAAAAATCCAAGTGCTTTATAAAAAAAAGATAACATCAGCTTCTAATGTCATGCCCATAAAGGAGCTGGGTTTAGTAGTATGAAAAAGAAATTGAGGGAAGAAAACTCCCAGGGAGCTAGATCTTCTGCTTGGGGCCAACAACCATGCCCCTTAGAATGAGGAGATGCTGCCAGTGACACCGAAGCAACCATTCATGGAACTTGACCATGTTACCTTGCTGTCCTGTTTCTCTTTTCCAAACTGACTATATACCATATGTACTTTAATACATATGTTAAAAAATATGTATTAAAAAAGTTATTTTTTAACTTAAAAAAAGTTTACTGATATATAATTTATAAACTATAAAATACGGCATTTTAAAGTGTACAACGTAGTGGGTTTTTTGTATATTCAGAGTTGTACAACCATAACCTCTACCTAGTTTCAGAACCCTCACAAGAAACTCTGCGCCCATTAGCAGTCACTGCCCATTCTTCCCCTCTTCTCCCAGCCCTTGCCAACTACTAATCTACCTTTTGTTTCCATGGGTTTGCCTATTCTGGACATTTCTTAGAAATAAAATCATATAATATGTGGCTTATTGTGATTGGCTTCTTTTACCATAAATATTTAAAAATAACAGAATTTTTACCCCAAATTACTCCTCAGAAAAAAGAAGACGCTTTTCTTTGGAGACCTTATAAAGACTTTCATAAGAAGGGACATTCTCCTAATTACTTCACTTTGAACAAGAGTGGTATAAACCAATTTTTAGAAACTCTGCCTAGAACCTAATTAATTAATTATAATACTACATGGATACAAGAAGTGTATTTTGTTTTTTTCACTGTTCAATGAAAGTTTGAGTGAAATTATTCTGTGAAAGATGAATGAGGAAAAAAGTGATATTTCTATATTAATAATAGCTTTTATAAAGTCACTTCAAATATGTTTACAAAGCAAAATTAATATTATATATATTATTATTTATATATATAGTTCATCTATTTCCCTAAAAGTTTATAGTTCAAAATTGGGAAAAAAAGCTTGTAATTCAAAATGGGTCTTCTCATTTGAAGTACGAAGAAGATTGTTTTCTATTCAGGATTGTTTTATGTTTAGAACTATGAATTTCCAGGATCATTCAAAGGCATGGTCAGATCTGATGATATTCAGGCCTAAAATAACTGACTACTCTAGGATTTAAAAAATTTGTTGAAAATCTAATTCTCGTGAACCATCTCAAGAGAAAACTGAACTTTATAAGTGCATATCATTTAAAAATTGAGTGAGGTGGTTTTATTTATTTAAGACATGTTAAGGAATAAAGGGATCTTAGAAGTTGCTGCCAACTCCCTCATTTTACTGATGAAATGAATGAGGCTCAAAGAGGCTAAATGACTTACCCAAGATCTTATGAATGAGGGCTTACGGTGCTAAGTGCTTTTCATGAATGATTTCTTAGTCCTCCTATCAACCCTAATCATGTCCCCACTTTACAGGTAAGGTTTAGAAAGGTTAACTATCTTGCTCAGAGTCATACAGCTAATACATGGTAGAGCTAGGATTCCACTCAGGTTTCTCTGGCTTCAGAGAGCTCTTAACCATTTTGCCAAATAAGTCTTTAGCTCCTCATCAGAGGCCTTTTCACATGGTTTAAAAAAGCAGTTAGCCATGTTTGGAATTTATCTTAACTGGAACAGAAGAAAACATCATTAGAAATTAGCAAAAACATTGAGAAAAGGGTAGGGGTAAGAAAGCAGGTCCAAAATTATTTTGAAGTTCATAAATACATCTAACAAAAGGCATAAGTTATTCAAATGATGTCAATATTACCTGGTTAATTCTCTTAGTCGAGTCACCTCAGCATCACGCTGACGTAATGTTATTCCCAAAATCTGATTTTCCTTTTCTGCAGCTTCTAACTTAAACCGGCAGCTTTTCACATTGACTAAAGCTTCCTCCAATTCTAAAACAACAGAAAAGTTTTAGTTTCCCTATTACTTTTTTTTTTTTTTTTTTTGCGGTACGCGGGCCTCTCACTGTTGTGGCCTCTCCCGCTGTGGAGCACAGGCTCCGGACGCACAGGCTCAGCGGCCATGGCTCATGGGCCCAGCCGCTCCGCGGCATGTGGGATCTTCCCGGACTGGGGCACGAACCCGTGTCCCCTGCATCGGCAGGCGGACTCTCAACCACTGCGCCACCAGGGAAGCCCCCTATTACTTTTTAAAAAGTGACCATAACTGTAGTTCAAACACATACCAATTTTCATTCTTGTTGTCTCAATGTCAAATTGCTGTTTATTTTCAAGTAAAGTTTGATCTTTCTCTTTAAATATACCAGCAAACTTTTTGTTTTCATCTTTCTGACTTTCTATCACTTTTAAAAGCTCTTCATTTTTACTCTGTAGTAATTCTTGGCTCTTTAGTGACTCCTGTAATTGATTTTGCAGTGACTTGTTCAATGATTGAAGAGAAAACACTGTAAGACAAAATCGATCAAATAATTATTACCCCAGATTAAAAACCACAAACCTGGAAAAGCTGTTTTTTTTAAAAGAAAAGGCTTAGAATTTATTGATTTTGCTTAACAATTATATGCTTGAGCAGTTCTATGTAAATACTAAATGTATTTAAAAAAACTGATTGGCAGAAGTCATATCTTTCTTCTCCAATTGATATTTCAGGCATTAATTTTTTTACCTTTTTTAACAAAAAAATAATATATATACAAAGTAAAAAAAATTCATTTACCTTTTTTAACAAAAAACATATATACAAAGTAAAAAAAATTCAAACACCATGAAATACCAATGATACCAAATGAGTCTCAATGAAAAGTCTCCCTTCCCACCCCACCTCCACTCTCCCCCAAGAAGCAAGCAATATTAACTTTGATATCCTTCTGGAAAATACTTTTGCATATAACATATATTTAAGCATAAATGAATCATACTATACCCGTAGTTTCTAACCTTCCCTTTTCCCCCCTCCATAAGATTGTTATGTATCAGCACACAGACCTATCACATTCTTTCTAATGGCTATAAAATGGCACCTTTCATTTAACAGTTGCAGCCTTGAGTGAAGTGGAATCTGGGCATACAGTGGTGAACAACAGAGACATGGTTCCTGCTCTCATGGAGCTGATAGCAAACAAGTCATTATGAATAGTAATACATGCTCTCAAGGCAACAAGAAGGGAGATGGTAGAGAATAAAAAGAGATAGGCTGCTTAGAATGGCAACCACTGATCTCACTTTCCATCTTGGCCTCCTCTCTCCCACCCATCCCCATGGTTTATTCATAATGGAACCAGAGTGATCTTTTCCAAAATTACTCTGGTGAAGTTGAATGCGTTTATGAAGTGCGTGTTCTGTTGGGTGCTCGTATTTTTAAAATTTCTTTGTAAGAGATATTTTTATATATTAGGAAAATCAAGCCTTTGTCATATCACACAAAAAAAATTTCCCCATTTTGTTGATGCTTTTTGAATGTATTTATAATTTTGTTGTGCATAAAATGAAAAAGATTTCTGGGACATGCTTTATCAATCTTTCCTTTGTAGCATGTGAGTTTTTGTTGGGCTTAGGAAAAGTTCCTAAGAATACAAAAAAAGTTCTTATCTTCTCCTCTAGTACTATTAGTTTTTTTTTTTTCTTTTCTTTTACTTTAAGCTCTGTGATCCATACGGACAACTTGGCAATATCTGTCAAAACTGCAACAGTATATATTATACCCTTTGACTCAGAAATTCTATGGCTATAATCTACAAAAACAGTCACACATGTGCACAAAGATATTTGTACAAGGATTTTCATTGCAGGATTATTTGTACTGGGAAAATGGGGAAAGCACCTAGATATCTATTGGCGGAGGACTTTAAATACATTATGACAGAACTACATAAACAGAATATCTACACAGTTCTTAAACAGAAAGAAACATATTTTTATATTTTGATAGAGAAAAATGTCCACTACATATTAAGTGAATAAATACAAGCTGCAGGAGTATATACAGTGTAATCTCATTTTCACAAAAGAAGTACATATATAGTTCTATTAGTGCCCATCTGTTAGTAGATACGCAGTATTTATGAAATAAATCAATTATATATGAACAGGAGATATGTGAAAGGAAATACAGTCTTTTTTAAAAAAAATAGAGGTATTGGGACTTCCCTGGTGGCGCAGTGGGTAAGAATCCGCCTGCCAATGCAGGAGACAGGGGTTCGAGCCCTGGTCTGGGAAGGTCCCACATGCCGCGGAGCAACTAAGCCCGTGTGCCACAACTACTGAGCCTGTGCTCTAGAGCCCCTGAGCCACAACTACTGAGCCCTCGTGCCACAACTACTGAAGCTTGCACTCCTCGAGCCCGTGCTCTGCAACAAGAGAAACCATCACAATGAGAAGCCCGCGCACCACAACGAAGAGTAGCCTCTGCTTGCTGCAACTAGAGAAAGCCTGTGAGCAGCAATGAAGACCCAATGCAGCCAAATATAGATAAATAAATTTTAAAAATAGGGGTATTATTGGGAATTCACAGCATGAATCTTTTATTTTTGTGTTTCTGCACTATTTTAAATTTTAATGAGTATTATTCTTACTTTTTTCATGTTGATTCTTAACAAAAAGTCCACTTAACACAAAGTAATTAAGAAAGTTCAATTCTTTATCAACATCTCCAGAGCCACAAAGAATTTACTATCAGTTCTTAAGTTCTTTTACCTACATTCAAGGTTGCATTCCAGAGAACCAGATGACTTTTGAGTTTTTTCTCGTTCTGTAAGTTGCTGGTTCAAAATTCTCAATTGCCTAAATGAAATAATGAAGAAACATGAATGCAAGAATCCCAAGCTCATTTAACAGTATACATTTGACAGCCTATTAAAGTAGACAACACAAATAGTGGCTAGAACAGCAGAACTCCATTTTATCCCCCAAATATAAGACAAAAACAAAATAAACAAAGCAACAAAACCACACTATTGCTATTATTAGAAGGCCTGAGATAATTTTTAAAAGATTGTCTGGGATAGCATAAAACCACCCCTCACTAGAAAAAGGTTAACTTATTTTTCCCCTTCCCTTTTTTGTTCCCTTTTCAGTGATTTCGTTGTTTGTTTCTATTTCTTTCATTTCTGTCTCCTCTTGCTATTTTCTTCTTCTGTCTTCCTTCCCAGGAAGTATTTTTATTACTGTAGTAATTATCTACTTTTTAAAAGATCTGTCATAACTACGAACCAGAATACCTACAGGGACCGACTGCTATCAGACATCTATCTGCTTGGCTTGTCATGCACTGTAAAAATTGGAAAACACAAATTTATGCTTCTACTAATTTATTAGATGTAAAAGTTAATGTCATTAAGTAAAGAGAATGCTAATAAGCAGCAACTCTTTCCCAAAATGAACTTCACAATATGTAGCTGCTTCACAAATAGGAACATACAAAAGGAAGTGTTTACTTCTAAGAAGTTAATAGTTAAAAAAATGTATCTCTGGTATCTTTCCAGAATTACTTACCTGGAAATAATCAAAACTAAAGTATTATTGTTACAAAATCTAAAATTATAGATCCTACCTCACATCATTTGTATGGATTAATTCAGAATGGATTAAAGAGCTAAACATAAAATATAAAAATGAACAAAACTTAACAAGTTTTAGGTGGAAATCTACATAATCTTAAAAAGTGGGAAGGGCATTCCTAAGCAAGACTCAAAATCCAGCAACCACCAAGGAAAAAAACGACGGATTTAACTACATCAAAATATAACAGACAAAGGGTCTGTAACATTTAAGAACTCCTACAAATCAGGAAGAAGGGCAATAAAATGTGACAAACGATAAGAATGGGCAATTCACATAAGAAACAGAAATGGCCAATAAGCATATGAAAAATGCTCAGCTTCACTAATATGAAGAAATGCAAATTTAAAACAGGAGATATTTTATGGCTACAGGATTGACAAAAATGAAAGGAAATAACACTTTTTGTTGGTGACGGTATAGGGAAAGGGATTATTTCAATTGGTGGGAGTCTACTGGTGTAACCATTTTGGATGTCAATTTGGCATTATCCAACAAATGTAAAATGTTCACAATCTGTGACAAAATAATTCCAGCTCTAAGTTATCTAGCCTCAGAAATAGTTCTATATGTGCAAAATCATCTATAATCTTGTAGATATATATAAGGATGTTCTCAACAGCAGTATTTAATAGACGTTGGAAACAAAATACTACATAAATTATGATATATCCATACTATGAAATACTAATACACAGGTATTTAAAAAAAGAGACTGGCTTCCCTGGTGGCGCAGTGGTTAAGAATCCACCTGCCAATGCAGGGGACACGGGTTTGAGCCCTGGTCCGGGACGATCCCACATGCTGTGGAGCAACTAAGCCTGTGCGTCACAACTACTGAGCCTGTGCTCTAGAGCCTGCAAGCCACAACTACTGAGCCTGCATGCCACAACTATGGAAGCCCACATGCCTAGAGCCTGTACTCCGCAACAAGAGAAGCCACCGCAATGAGAAGCCTGTGCACCGCAACGAAGAGTAGCCCCCGCTCGCCGCAACTAGAGAAAGCCCACACACAGCAACGAAGACCCAACGCAGCCAAAAATAAAAATAAATAAATTTATTAAAAATAAATAAATAAAGAGACTGTCATGGAAAGATTTCCAAGAGACCTTATATAGTGAAAAAAACAAGCTACAGAACAATAGTATAACATGATTTCATTTTTGTTTTAATAAAATTCAGCTTTTCTGAAAAGGTTTCTCCTTTACAACAAAGAGGGCAGATTTAGAAAAGGCAGCATAGACTGGTAACCCATAACTCCAACTGGAGTGCTTCTTCTGATATTTTCCAGAAAAACAGCAGGTCCTTGTACACACCAAGTGTGTGACAGACGCTTTCCCTGACAATTCTGTATGTCCCTGGTCAGATTCTTCTCTCCTCTTCTGTTTTACAAGTTCATGGGCCTGAGCTGAGAAGCATAATAAAACTGCTCCCATATTTAGGAAAACATTCCCTCCAACCTAATTGTACCACTAGCTACTCTCTTCCCTCTCATTCCCAGTTTTTGGGCCGGACTTTTAAAAAATGATTGTTCTATAAAAATGATACATGATAATAAATAAAAGTCTTTTAAAAATGGATGTTACACATGCTATTTAAAAGTATTATGTATTATATTTAAGTTTACTTTTCATAATGGAAAAGAATATGAAAAAGAATGTATATACATAACTGAATCACTTTGCTGTGCAGCAGAAACTGACACAACATTGTAAATCAACTATACCTCAGTAAAATAAATTTTTAAAAATTATTCGTAAACAGCCTAAAGGAAATAGGATATGAAAAACATTGATTTTGGAATTTTTACTGTCAAGATTACTAACAGTCTATTCTGAGCCCATAATTTCAGTTGTTTTAGTTCTATGTATAGATTCAATGTTCATCTCTAATCTACTCCTTTACCTGAACTCAGCTCTTGGTTGACTACACTTTGCCATTCAAGAATCTTTGTTTCAAAAGGAGGCCAAGGGTGCTATATTTCCTAAGTTTTCCCACACTTTAGAATATGACTATTACCTTTACACTAAAAGGATCACTGGACTACATATCTTCTTTTCCCTTAGAACTTTGTAAATGATGTTCTATAATCTTCTGACAATTAATATTGCTGTGAAAAGGCTGAGGCCAATCTGATATTTTTCTCCTTATGATTTGCTTTTTCTTTTGAGCGTCTGTAAAAGCTAAATTTTTTTGTCCTCAAGGTGTAGTAACTTCACCAGCATGTCTTGGTATTGATCGTTTTGCATAGTTTTTCTGAGAACTTCTATACCCTATTGATCTGCTGACACAGATCTTTAGATTAGTAAGTTTCCCTTTATTTATCTATCTTTTAATATTTAATCTATTCGTTCTCTTCTCTTTTGCAGGAACACTATGCCAATTTTGCATCTCTTTTGTTTCTCTTCCACGTATACCATGTTCTTAAAAATAATTTTTAGATCAATCTTTCTCTATTTTTTTGGTATGATTTCTTGAAGCTTATCCACCACGCATTCAGTCATTTAACAAGTATTTATTAGAGTGAGTGCTAGGCACAATTCTCGGCACTAGAAATACAGCAGCAAACAAAAAAGACAAAAATTCAGCCTTCTCAAATTCATTGAGACAAAAAAGAGCATAGAGGTTATCAGGGGCTGGGGGCAAGGGAGAAGGGGAGTTACTTTTAGTGGGCACAGGGTTTATGTTGGGGATGAAAAAGTTTTACGTACAAACAGTGGTCATGGGTACACAGTATTGTGAATGCGTTTAATGCAACGTACACTTACAAGTAGTTAAAAAATAAATATTATGTCATATTTTACTGCAATAAAAATAAATTAATAAAAAATATTTAAGGGGTTTATAAAGAGAAATAAGATAAGGCTTACAGGAGACAGTGAACTATGAATTTAGTAGCAACTGAAACAGAAATATTTGGGGGGGGAAGCAAAACACAAAAACCAACAAAACAACAACAAAATTCAGCCTTCATATTGCTTAGCTTCTTTTTTATTTCTTTATTTTTTTTGCTGCATTAGGTCTTAGTTGCAGCACATGGGGTCTTCATTGAGGATCTTTCGTTGTGGTACACGGGGTCTTTGTTGTGGCGTGTGGGCTTCTCTCTAGTTGTGGTACGCGGGGTTTTCTCTCTAGTTGGGGCGTGCAGGTTTTCTCTTTAGTTGTGATGTGCAGGCTCCAGGGAGTGTAGACTCTGTAGGTTGCGGCATGCAGGCTCTCTCGTTGAGGTGTGCGAGCTCAGTAGCTGTGGCACGGGGGCTTAGTTGCCCCGCAGTGTGTGGGATCTTAGTTCCCCAACTGGATCAAACCTGCGTCCCCAGCATTGGAAGGCAGATTCGTTACCACTGAACCACCAGGAAAGTCCCCTGCTTAGGTTCTAATGGAATACATTATCCCTGACTTGATGTTTGTTTGGTGTTAATTTATTTGTTTCTAACAGGGCTTTCATTTCTGTAATTTTTAGCTTTCTTATTTTTCCAAGGTCACCTAATCCAGTTTTCTTCTCCTCTTACTGTCTCTTCTTCTTTAAGCACTCTCTCTTTTCAATCTCTGTCTTCCTGCTTCTAAGAAAGACTCCAGTATATTTAATTTCCTTGAACCTATAGAATACTGTTTCAAGTTTTCCTGGGTTTTCTTCCGGTGAACTGCCTTGTGATGTTTATTCTTGACCTACCTTTGTCCCTTTTGTCAATTTGTTTATTTTGAATGTTATACAAACATCTCTCCCCTTCCGTAAATTCTTTCTTCCCAGCTTTTGTGGTATCACTCTCTCCCAGTTTTCCTGATCCTTCTCTACTTGTTCCTTCTTGGGTTTCTTTCACAGGCTCCTCTTCCTGTGTTCTTTCCTTAAAAAGCTGTTGTTCCCCAGCAATTCCCCTTTGGCTTCGTTCACACTCTATACCTTCTTGGGTAATTTACCACTTACACGCTGAAAACAAATCACTTGCTTTTAATTATTATTGTCTCCAGTGTCTACACAGTGCCAGACCTGTAGTAAATGCTCAATAAAAATGTGGTCAGTGAATAACTCCCAAGTCTGTTTCTGTCCTGGATCATACCATACATGTCTCCAGATGGTCTAAATGATACATCCAGCATATCTAATTCTTAACTCATTGGCTCTCCCATTACATTTTCTAACTAAAAATAAAGTGACAGATTGGTTCAAGATGGCAGAGTAGAACGATGTGCTCTCACCTCACCCCCTCTTGCAAGAGCACCGG